ATTATTATATGATGATATTATCTTATTATTACATTATTAATATGTAATTCTATATATCATATACCTAAATATATATATATTCATATATGTCATATATTGATATATATATGTATATGTATATATATATATGTATATGTTTATATATATATATATATATATGTATGTATGTATGTATGTATGTATTGATATATGTATATATATATATATGTATATATATATATATGTATGTATGTATGTATGTTATCAACTGCGTTGTACCATATTTTATTATCTCTATCCTAGTTTTGTCTCATATCTTATTATCTCTATCCTAGTTTTGGCTCATTGTTTATCATCTCTAACTCAGTTTTCAGTTTATCTCTAATCTAGTTTTTCATGTACACCCCTGTGCCTGTTGTGAGCTCATACACAGCTTCCCCTTACCCTATGTTCACCTGCCTCTCTGTCTCTTCTACACTTAGATCACATCCATCCAACGGTCGTCCCAAGCCACAGCCGCACTCGCTGCACTGAGCACAGACCTGCACGCATATATTTCTGAATTGGGTTTGGGCATACCGTGTGCCTTTGATGTAGTGTGTTGGGTGACCGAAGCCCTTTCAAAGCTGCCAGCGCTCGAGCCCCAGCCAGTACCCCGGGAAGGCACCGCCATAGAATCAGGTTTAGGGCTGCGGCCCAGCCCCGATTCCGAGGGAGAATTGGAACGGCAGTGGATCTACTTTATTGGCTTCTACACCAAATCCATCCGGGCCGAGTTTTGCCAGGCCGCGGCGAGTATCGGCTGCACCGGGTTTCTCATGCCGGGGAAACCAGCCGTAGCTGCGGTAGAGGGCACCCGCCAACAGATAGATCGGTTCCTGTATACCACACGTACAGAAACCTTCGCCCAAGTGGCACCCAGTATGCGCAAGATGCAGGTTACGTTACTAGACAGAGACGTGGAGAGGGTGTTTGAGGGGTTTGATGAGTTGGTTATGGCCCATGGCGGACATAAGCGGAAGGATATATCGGACCTGTCTAGTTTGCAGAAGATGCTGGAGGAGAAGGGCATTGGGCATGCGTTCGAGTTTATCTTCAATGCCAATACGAAATAGAATCTCGGAACGGATATTGATAATAGACCATGGAACGGACCTTAATAGTAGACTCGCGGAACGGATATTAATAATAGACCACGGAACAGATGTTAATTTTTCAAGGACATCTGTGAGGCACCAGATAAATAAATAGAGGACTGGGTCTGGAGCCGAGCCCAGGTAATCCTTAGCTATTGGTAGGATGTAGTTGTGTCTTCACTAAGTAATGGTTACAGATCTATAGTAACTGTAAGACTGAACCTATTACTAAAGGTTTATGTTACAGCTAGCAGTAGCACTGATTGCTATGCGTGGGTTTGAATAGTCACTCGACACGCCGGGGTGTCTTGTCATATACGTGAAACGCTTTACGCGTTTGTATTGTAGTGTTGCTGTGGTTACCTTTTAAAAGCGTAGCGGTTCTATTTAATCAATGCGTTTCTAAGGCGTTTATATTAAAAAGTGTTTCTTTAAGGAGACGGTGTTACTAGTGCGGCGACAGCACAGTAGTGTGTAGTTTGTAATTGCTCAGACATAGGACCACTCTCAATTGTGGGATACTAATTCGGTGTAGAGTACATATAGAAGGAACGTGTATCTGTATGATCCGCAGTGTGCTTCTTTTTTATTTAATGTTGCTACCTACCGGTCCACCTACCAATATATATATATATATTTATATATATATATATATATATACTAGTATTGTATTATTATATTTATTACTACTAAATAGTGAATTGCTTTTATAAAAAGTATGCTTATTAAATATTATAGGTTGCTATCTATCTACCAACAT